CCGGACAGATGATAACTGAGGACGCCTGTTGTTCAGTTTCAGGATTTAGCAGGTGCGTAGTCAGGATTTTTCCGGAGGTACACCCAGCTTTTTCTACATCGTCTCCCCCCCCCCCCCCCCAAATCTCAACATTTTTTTAAGGTGCCTATATTACAGGTGGGGTTAACGGTTGTAAGCAAAAGCATTTTTCCTGTTTATGAAATGACACAACCTCTAAAATTCTTTAATTCTGTCGGCTTGTTATGTTCATTGACGTCAACCGTTTATCATTAATTCAGCTATTAAAAATCAAGCTTGTAGTACCTCCGACTTTAGTTTACAAATGGCTGTTTTTACCCTTTTTTGTCACATTATTTTTGACCGACAAAAGCACCACACATTGACGTAATTGTGTCCTACTTCGTCTACTCCGAAGACAGGTCGTGGAGAAAACAACGCGTTCACGCTTTACATCATCAAGCTTGCTATATGAATAAAGCATCCAAGGTTCGGTTCTCCAATTAATGTCCTCGCTTCTCTGGAAACCGATTTTTTTAGTTAAGTTTATTTCATCCTATTTTTTCTCCTCAACTTTTTCGGGTACGCACGTGCGAACCGTGCATACAAGTAGCTACGCCCCTGTTTAGTCTCCTTAGCCCTGAGCGTTCCTCTCTTCCGGTTTTCGCAGGAGTTCAGGATGTGGTCTACCCAGTATTTCACGTCTCTATTAAATGACAGGCAGCACTTCTTGTTTACCGTTTCGTTATCAGACAGCGCTTAGACTCTTAGCCTTTCATTTAATTTTGATCAAATTTTTATCATTTAGTTACTCAGTATACGTTCGATCCTGTCCTTGTAAACTTATACTTTTATACTTTAAGGGAGCTTAATAGCTATATTAATTTTTTCTTCGTTTAGTGCCGTTCAACAAACCCAGTTTTTTTGGCATTTTTTTAAAAAAGCAAGAAAAAGAAACGACAAGGTTTATTTTTTTGGACTTCAATTAATTCTTTTAATCAAAGAAATGAGCATTATAACAGCATTTCCAGGCATAAAACGTTCGGTGGTGTATCCTTTTTGCTTTTTACCCTTTTTGGGCCTTTTTTTATGAAATTGACCACCACATTTTCCACAATATTGAGTTTGTGTCGATTTGGTGACCATGTCTTGTTGTTTTCAGGCTCCACGGCAATGATTCTGGTGTTTCAGGTCTCCTGTTCTCAGATTTCTTGTGATTTTTTTTCACCCTACCGACCGACTCACCCAAAGCCATGAAACCTATTCAACGCTAAACGAACGAAAAGGGGATGACCTAAGCCTTATGGTTTCTTTTTGGGCTTCCCCACCACATTGCTTCTGCGTATTTCTGTATACTTGTCTTTTGCTTTGTTTTGTTCTTTTTTGTCGGTAAAATAAACTGAAACTAATATTCCCTTTGGAGGCTCTCGAACGCGCATAAAAAAAATGAAAAACGCGATGATTTATTGACCGCAAGGGCAATTGGGTGGGGTTAGGGCTCGTTACTGCGCTCCGGTTCCCTCGTGCGCTATCAAATGGTCCCGATATACAAAATGAGAAATGACTGCGGACAGACTATTCACGTCTAGACATCAAGCATCTTTTAAGATGGGACTTATCGCCTCTCCCTGTTCATGGAGTTGATTCAAGGTGTAGACGTCAATTTCGTGATGCCCTGCATGTTGCCGGCACATGTTTCAAAAGGGCCTTTCCACAGCTATGGAGTCCGCCGTCACCTTGTCAACCGTGCGAGAAATGATGTACTTCACAAAAACAAAGAGAACTTGTTTTCGATTTTCCCCGCCCCCTACCCCCAAAACTCCCCGACAGGACCGCTTCAAAGTACTCCCCACCCCCGGGCCCAAATGGCTGGACTTGTTCCTGTGGTTGCGCGGGGGATAGTAACAGGTCTAACTAATTGCACCGTGCATCAATGACAGTTTAGCTCAATCAGAAGCCCCTTTTCCCTGGCTAGGTCAAGGTATGTGCACCTCCTTTAAGCTGTTTTTTTTTTTTTTTTTCGGTTCTTACTGAAATTTTTTATCTTGAGGAAATTTACAACGACAGGAGCAGGTTATGGGCTTTTTTCCCTCCCCTAATCCTACATCACGGGAAATTGGGAAATCCCTCAGGTTAGGCAAGAATTCGATAATCCTTCCATAATCATCCATTTTATCACCGCGTGAATTGGGTACTTTTTAGCTTATTTCGAGGAAATACTTTTTGCTTCAAATCCAGGGTGGGCTTTTAAACACATTTTTCAAGCCAAATGGTTTTTGCGTGAATCTGCTTACCCGAACTTTTCATATAAAAAACAACAAATACCCGAAAAAAGCTCGTGTTGTTGGTGGTGGTGGCATATTTCCGATAAATTCAGTTCAATGTCTCGTGAAGAAGAGTTCAGATCCGTCTAAATGCGAGCCCAAAAACAGGTGGTAAGCGGTCAATCTGTGAAAAGTAACGCAATCTCCGTCGTTTGAGAGCAGCCGAAGACGCTCTTGCC